ACACCCACTGAGACATTCCCAGACCTGTTCCCAGTCCTGCAACTCCCTGCTGGCCCCTGCCCACACCTTCCCAGCCCAGCCAGCCTTGCAGCACCAGCTGGAGGGGTGTGCTGGGCTGGGTGCCCTGTCAGCAGGTACAGCCACCACTGGGATCCACCCTGCCACAGACACGAGCCACCAGCACTCCCCAGCAAGCCAAGCGTGACTCACCAAACCTCCACAGCACTGCCTGCATAAATCCAGTGCCTATTTTTGCATAAAAGCAGCACTTTCCAAAGCTATTCAAGTGCCAGAAATAAGAGATTATTATGACTTCATGTCATGTTGAAAGACAGGTGGAGGAGAGCACAATGTTTGTGTTGGATTCAAATGTCTGCTGAAATCATTCCTGTCATTCCTAATTGATGTTGCATCTGTCTTTAGATTGGGACTATTGAGGGGGAAAAAAAAGCTGAAGATCTTATTCAGAGAAATAATTACAGTTATACACTGGTAGATGTAAAATTAAAGTATGTGGGGGGGAGGGAACTACATCCTATAATTTATCAAATTCCTACATCCCTGAAAAATAATTAGATGCTGGGCAGTGTGCAGAGGCTACTGTCAGGGGGATAGCAGTGGTCAAAACCAGGCCACTGGTTCTCATTTATTCCATCCATTTTTGCTCTTTTATTGTGTTTGGAGTATTAGTTTCCAACTATCCAGAGACACTGCAGAGAAACAATGGCAGCTTTATTAAGAGCCAGAGACGTAATCCCCAAGCAGGAGTGCAACTGCAGAAGCTGGAGAGGGAAAAAAGGGAGTTCTGCTTATGTCTGGCTTTCAGGAATTTTACCCTCCAAAGTCCTTCAGCATGATGTAGTTATGGGCAGCACTAAATCTGCATTACTTTGACAAACTTTCTTGAAGCCACTGAAGATTATTAACGGAAGCAGCCTGTGAAGGAGCTCTTCAATAGATGCCTCACATCCCAGTTGTGTGGCTTGAGGGGTTTTTTCTTCTTCTTTTTCTTGCTCCTTTTCCTGATGCTTGTGTGGATGTTGGATTAATCCATCACAGTTGATTTGTAAATTTGTATAAAAGGACTGCATCTGGTCAAACTTGAAACTGCTCCATGTAAGACAGACACAGGTTTCTATCAACAGATTCCTACTGCCAGAGGGCAGGGTTAGATGGAATATTGGGAAGGAATTCTTCCCTGTGAGGATGGTGAGGCACAGAGAGCCCGGAGCAGCTGGGGCTGCCCCTGGATCCCTGGAATGTCCAAGGCCAGGCTGGACAGGGCTTGGAGCAGCCTGGGGTAACGGGAGGTGTCCCTGCCATGGCAGGGGCTGGGACAAGAGGAGCTTTATGGTCCCTTCTGATCCAAACCTTTCTGAGATTCCAGGATTCTCTTCCTCCTCCACCTCTCTCCCTGCTGTTTTCCTTTATCAGGATTGTCTGCAGCTCCACATTGGAAGATCCCTGCCCAACCAAAGGCTTCACCTTTGGGAAGTCTGGGCTGAGTTACCCCAGATATTCCCCATGTCCCAGCCAGCAGCTGCTTGGACACGTGGTAGGAAATTGTCCTGGAGGGGCAGGATTTTGGAGCAGCTCTCCTGTGTGGTTGTCCCTTGGAACAGTGCAGTTGTGACTGCTCTGGTGGGCTGAGTTCAGCCCAGTTTGTGTTTTCCACAGTAATTCAGGCCCTTAGGGCTGGTTTTCCTTCTCTCCATGTGTGCAAAGGAGGTTGGTGTGGGGAAAAGGGAGTGAAGCCACTCCTGGGACTGTCAGCTAAATGCCATGTACAGAGCAGTCCAAAGGGAATCCCACTGGAAAGCAGCCAGTGCTTGCAGAAATCCAATACCCCAAATCCCTGCTGGGCCATGGAGAGTTTGTGGCTGCTGTTTCACAGACTGAATTAAAGCCACAGTGGGCTCTGCCTTACTGCAAAAGTGCAGATCTTTTGCCCATGTCCAGTGGATAACTACAATTTTATAAGTTATGTGGATTTCATTTACAATTCACCCCCGGAACATTGTTTAAAAAGGTCTTGGAAGTGTAATTTTATACCAGTGTCTGCAATTGTGAACCACAGCCTCAGGCTGGCAGATAATTCCCTGGTATCCAGGCAATAGAGTTTATGTATAGAACTGCTTCCTGCAGCTTCAAGGGCTTCTGATAGTTGTCTTTCTAATTTCCACACCATGCATGTGAAACCAGGACTTTGTTCATAAATTAGGAATCTGTGGTTGTAACGCGAGGTAGTACAGAGGTGTGTCAACTTCAGCACTTTTTGTAGTTCTGGAAATTGAAAACTAATTGCTTATCAGAAATGTTCATCAGCAAGTTCCTAAATAAATATTAAAGTTTTACATTACAGAATCTTGCTGCTTCACTGACTCTGACTGTAAAGTAGCTGGGAGGGATGGACTCCCCCTTCACACGCTGTCAGGCTAGGGAATTGTAAAATTAAGGTGCTTTTTCCAGCACAATTCCATAAGACTTGCATGTCCAGATGCAATTTTAACTTCTCATTTATATTTGCAATTCAATGCGTGTAGGAACCTTCAAAAATGAAGTCTTCCATGAGAATTAACTTGGAGTAATAAAAAGTAATAAAACCTGATTGCGGCACCATCTCTGGAAATGTACAAATAAATAAGGGCTGTAATGGGTGCCAGTGGCTTCTGGAAAGTTTCCTTTTCCCCCTTTCCCTTTTGCTACAACAATCAGCTCCACAATGACTCATTGCCTTCGTTAGCAGAGGGAAGACATCCCTCATTACTCATTACCAAAGGAAGGGCTTTGCTGCTGCAGGAACAGCCCTGGCATTCAAATTCAGGTACCTTGCACAAGAAAAGAGTCAGTGTCATTCTTCCCAAACTTTGTCAAAAGAGACAAGAAATAATGCTGTTTAATTGTCCCTGTTTATAAATAGCCCATCCACAATGACAGAATTGTAGTTTTAATGCTGCGATCAGGAGGAAAAATGCACATTTTTCTGTGTTTGTGTCTGAATTTCAGTTCAGGGAGCTCACACTGAGACTCAAGGCTATAAATGATCATATATATGTATTTATAAATACAAAATACATTTATTTATTTGTTTATTTATTTACAATTTATTTTCTGACTTTTTAATTACAGAGCACTGTGGTAAAAGACATAAATGCACACAGAAAGCACTTGTTTAAGTAATCCAAGGATATATTTGATTTCAAAGGGAGCAAGGAAGACTTTAAAATAGTTTCTTAAAATAATAGTTTTTCTTTATTTTACTAATACAAATGCTCCTTGTCTCTTTTCACAGTCCCTTTTTACAGATTTATTTACTTGGATATGAAGGAATTGAGCTTGTATTAAGTTTTTACTGTATTTTAATGTGGTTTTTATTAAGCTGTACAGAATGGTCCATGCCTCTTTATAAATAATGCTAAGAACATGTATTACTAGAAATCACATTTCAAACTGTGCTTTTGCCAGACTTGGTTAAGATTTTCTAGGAAGGGACATTATAATTGTATGATTAATCTTCAGAATAGGGAAATTTTGGCTCTGCAGTATTTTTTACTGTGTTAACTTCAGAGATTTATAAAACCAACTTGAAACTGCACTGTAAGTGTATTTATAATGACTTTCAGCTGATTTAATAATGCTCAGTTTGGTGACCGTACAGATCACAGCTCCCCAAATGCAGTGCATTACCTGCAGCATCCAGATGAAGTTATCAGAGGTGGAGGAAATGATTGGGATTGTGTTTGTGCAGAGAGCTGCACTAATCCAACCCCTGGGCTGCTTTGATCCCATTGTGCAATGGGACATGTGCATGGGTGATAAAGAACATCTCAGGTTGGAATGGTAAAGGACATCTCAGGTCAGAGATAGGAAAGAATGTCTCAGGTTGGGGATGGAAGCCCAGTGGGGTGTGTGGGTACCTCCCAGTCTCAGGGCCAGGCTCCCACTGGGGTCATGTTCTATGAAAAATTTCCAAGCCAGTCTCTGATCCATTTCTGCTGGTTTTTTATGCTCCTGCCAGTGCCACTCCCTGCAGCTGGCACTGCTCAGTGTCCCTCTTAGTTCATGATTCTGCAAACCCATCCAAGGAGTCCTTGATCATGCAAATAGCCCTGCTAATTGCAGGTATTGGTACTGCCTTATCCCTGTGGAGTGAGAGCCTCTCAGACGCGGTGTGCAGGATCAGCTCCTTCAATCACATTTATATGTGACAAGCCATGGCACAAGGTTGTTTTTAAAAGTCACCAGTTTAAACAAAGCCAGTTGAAACCATGCCAGAAGCTTTGTGTTAAGTTTCCTGGCTCTGTGCTCCTTTCAGTGTTTCCAAGCTTTGCTCTTCATAAAAATAAATATCAAACAAGCACCCTGGGAAGCACTGGGAGCTGGATTGGCAGGTCTCAGTCTCCATTTAACATGCAAATGCTCAGCCTGTGCTCACATATGGCCACTTGCTGGATCAGAACTCAGTTCATTCACACAGAACCGGGGAGCTCTGGGTGGATGTGGGGTATGTGCACAAAACACCAGAGCACAGGGGTTTGAGCCAGGAAGGGAACAGAACACAAAATAGGGTTTAATTTACTTGTGTTCAAGAATCCAAATACTGAACATGTTTTTGCAAAATCCTGATTTTTCTTTTTATGGCCGTCCAATTCACAACAGGTAAGTAATCAGCCTTCAATCAACTGCCTATTTCCAGACCAGTTATTTCAGCTATTTTGTGACTTTAAAGCAATTCCTGACCTTCATCTCTTGGATGACATGCAGAGTTTCTTTAATGGTGCTGAGGACTGAACAGGCGCCCAGCAACACCTACAGAATTCACCTCTCTGGCATTTTCTTAATTTTCACTTTATTAAGCAGATAAAAGAGGAGCTGTTTCCTTCCCAGACTCTCTTGCTGGCTCTGAGGGACTGTGAGGCATCAGTCCAACCAAGAATTTCTTTGATCAATGAGCAGAGTAAGAGTTGTGGGAAGCCTAACATGTGGCTTTGTGTCCTTAGGCATCCACTGTGACAACATCTGCACCCAGGGCCGCTGGGGACCCAACTGCTCCATCTCCTGCAGCTGTGAGAACGGGGGATCCTGCTCCCCTGAGGATGGAACCTGTGACTGTGCACCGGGATACAGAGGGCCCTTGTGCCAGAGAAGTAAGATTTTCCATAGCTGGCAGAAGCAAGGCAGGTGGAAATGCTCCTTTATGACACCAGACAGACAAATCCACAGCTTCTGAGCTGCTTTAGCTCATGACTTCCTAAGGGCAAAAGAGCCTGGAAAATGCTCCTTCATCAAGAACTCTCCTGCACTGAGCTGTGCCTTCTTCTGATCACACCTGGAGGTCACAGGTGACCTGGAAGGAGGAGCAGCACCTTTTCAAACAAAGCTGGCAGGACACAGATTTGCAGTGAAGTCAGACCTGTTAAACAGTCAGCCACCACCCAGCATATAATGACAAGTGGATGAGCATTGGCATCAAAATAACAAGGCAGTGTTTTCTTGTATTCCAGAAAAAGAAACACAGCAGCCCAAAATAGCTCCTGTTTGATGCTCTGCTGCTACATATTAAAATGTACCAAGCAGATAAAAGTCCTCTCATTTGCTTTATCTGGGAAGCTGCATTTGCCCCACAGGGACCCTAAATCACTGATCCAAACTACACCAACCATCTTCCCATGTAAACAAATGGATTTGTCTTTCTTTTCTGCTCAGCATTTCTTCTTCTTCTTGCTGTAAGACATTCTGCATGCCCAGTTCATATATCCCCTTTGATTTCACCAGTTACACTTGACACTAGAACACACTCATCTCTAAAAATAATTTGTAGCTGACAGTCTTTATTTAAAGCCATTATAACGATGACCTCTAGCACTGCTGTAGTTAATGGCCTATAAGCATTTCCATTATAAACCCCAATTTCCAGGTGCTTCAGCATATCTGTGTAGCTGTAAAACTTCTGTCCAAGGCTAAAATGTGGAGCTCAGAGCTTCAGGGAGATGAGGAAGAAAATGTTTTACAAATTTGAAACCTTAAGAGTGCAAAACTTCCAGAAGTTAATAGTTTCTGACCTTTCTGAGATGAAAAAAAGCCCAGCTTAGTTCTATCAGCTGTTGGCATGTAGGCTACAAGAGCAAACCTTGTGCCCAGTTTGCAAGCCCAGGAGCCAGGCTGCTCCCTGAGGATGTTTGCTAAGGATCTATGAGGAGAAATTTTCCTCCCCACTGGGGTGACAGTAGAGGGATCCTGTGCATGCCTCTGCTATTGCCTCTGTAGTATTTGGCCTGGGAATCCAGCTTGCTTCAGCTGTTTTCTGGTGTTCAGGCTGAAGAATACCTGGTGAACAGAAGACCCTGCTAATCTTGTTCTCAAAATCATCCACATTTTTCTCTTAGAAATTCATTTAGAAACAGGATTTAGGCTGTTTTATTACAGAGCAGAGCTGAGGATGATACTGAAGATGATACTCAGCCAACTTGTTCTGTCTGTGTAATCAGGATTACATGAGACACTGGGATGGTTTAGTGCTCTTAAGCCTGCAGAAATGTCTCCAGGAATGATCCAGGTTGTTTTATAGCTACTGCATCATCAACCAACCTGTCAGCTAAGCTCCAGCTGGAAATGTGCAGTGGGGTAAGAGCCTGACACCCTCTGAGAACATACAGTCCATGAGAAAATTCTCATTTGCTGGAAAAATAGAACAGACATGATTTAGTAACCACTGAGCCAGAACTATAGAACAGAGAATAACAGGAGTAAAAATAAAAACATATAAAGTTATTTTTACTGTCACTTACTGCAATTTAACATTTCTTTGTGTTATCTATTGCAGTGAATGTTTGGACAGTGGATGCTTTTCACTCTACATGCTCTTAGAAGCAAAAATCTGCTTTTAGAAGAGATGCTGAGCCATAATCCTGATTCTATAACTGATGTACAAATTCCATAATCATTTCAATCCAGGTTTTAGGCAAATAAGCACACATTTCATTACAAGTTTACTTAGCTATCTGATGTGATTACTGATTCAAATCAGGTGATTTTGTATGGTGTTACACAATTACCATTATTGGATTCTGTTCATCACTTGATGGCTGTTGCTCCTCCCATGAAATGTATAAAATGACTGCCCCAGCTGAGCATAGGCATTGCACCAGATAGGTTTGGAAATCAGCTTTTGGCATAGTTGTATTTGTTTCCTAATACACCTTCCCTGATTTCTTGACTCAATTTCCATTTCTTTCTGAGTTTCTGTTGTTTGTACATGTATGCCAGTGTTTCTTTTCCTATCTATCCTAAAATCTTTGGAATGTGTGTTATTAACCATATCTGCTGTGAGGTGTCAAACATCTTAAACTCCTGTTTTGTCAAAGAGTCCAGGTTAGAGAGACTCAAATGAGTGTCCTGAGAGACAGAGGCTGCTGAGAACTCTGCTGTGGTATTAAATAGCCAAGGATTTCCATGAGGAAGGAAGGTGGGAATGTTTGAACACGGGAGCAGTTTTACCCAGAGCCTGCACTTTATAAGACATGGAACAATCCAACAGGCTTCATCATTTCAGCTGTCCACAAAATTGTGCTTGATAAATGAAGAACTATTGGTTTGGGATTAAGACAGACAGAGAATTCTCAAGCTCTGAGTGGTGAGAAAACCTTGGAAAACCTGTGACAGCTTGGTTTGCTCTGTTTTCAGTTTGCCCACCCGGGTTTTACGGACACCACTGCAGCCAGCCGTGTCCCCAGTGCGTGCACAGCAATGGTCCCTGTCACCACGTGTCCGGCCACTGCGACTGCCTGCCCGGCTTCTCCGGCCCCCTCTGCAACCAAGGTACTGCCTCCCCTCCTGGGCACCTCTGCAGCCACTCCCATCCCATGCTTCCTGCCTTTTGCACGGGTTTCAGCACTTTAGATCCCGAGAAAATCTTTCCTTCAGAGGGAAAATGCAAACAGGTACTCAGTCACCCTCTTGGAAATACGATGTGCTCCTGGTTTCATAAATAAAGCAGCTCTGCCACACTGGATTGAAATGACTGTGGAATGAGACACCTGCTGTAAATACATCAGCAGCCAATGGCTTCATTTTTCTTGCTGCTCAGCCTGTCCTCACCTGAATGTTGATAGCACCTTCCTGTGATCTTTGCAGCAGGACAGGGAGGTACTGGTTAAGGAAAGGCCAGCTCAGGTGAACAATCCCAATCACCCAGTTGTGCACAAAACCTCATTGGCACTGTGCAGGACCTGGCTGGGAATGGCTAGAACCATGGACACAAGGGCAGGAGACAGCAAAGTTTGCAGTGAGGCAGAGAAGTGAGTTCATTTTCACATGTTAAGATGAGCTTCAGCTCCCCCAAACACCCATCACCTTTCTGTACCTTTCAGAGTTCCACATTTAACTCCAGGTGTCATTTTCATCCTAAAAAACCCCACAAAATCCCTGAGCCTTCTGCACTCTCAGGTGCTGCATCCTGCAGTGGGTATTTTCTACAGAGATATTTAAAAGCAGTGATTTGTAGTGGCCACTGTCCCTGTGAAGTCACCATTCCTGCCAAAACTGAATGACACTTTCAGTGACCTGCTTTTCAGTAAGATGGGATTGCAGGCAGCAGTTACCCAAAATCATTAAACAGAGATTAAGTATAACCATGGTTGGTTTTTTTTTTCCCGTGCAGTATAGTCAACTAAACATTACACCAATTAATTTATTAAAATGAACGTATTTCAGTGAATTTGTCCATTTTATGTGAAAAGTTAGCCAGATTTCAAAGCGTAAGCAGGTCTAATTATCCTCTTAAGAAAAGTATTTTATTTTTGCTCAGATGTTCAGCACTTCTGGTTTTACTTTGAAATGTTGATCTATCTAGCAAATTAATCTTAAAATATTCATGTCCTAATTAAAATCAATTTGTGTTGCAGTTTGTCATAATGAGTTAACATGTAACTTTATTTTGTAGAAAGAAAAATGCTAATTAATTTTCCATTAGAAAAATGTAAAATGAAGATTTCACTTTGGAATTTTCATTTCCTTGTGCCATTGGCAGCAGGAACATTCTTCCACCAGCAGTATGTGCATGTGAGGAGCTGTGTAACCCCCAAAACTGCACAGTTGTGCCAAGGATTCCAAGCTACAAACAACTAAACAGCTGTTTTGTGAATATCTTTCACAATCCCAGAGCGAGATGGGTTGATAATAACTTGTTATCACTGCTAGAACACACCTGACATCCCACAGGGACTTTGTGAGTCCCACTTCAGAGCTTTCCCAGCTAATTAACATCCCAATCTGTGTTGTACAGTCAGGCTGCTGCTGAAAAAAGCAGCATTAGGCCTTGTTTTACAGCTCTCTAAAAATGATTGAGACATTTTAAAAGTCTCAAAAAATGGGATCTCACATCTTCACAAAAATCTCTTTGTCAGTCCACAGCCAGGTTGTTTAAATTAGGGAGAGGAACCATTTTGTCATCCCTCTGTGCTGACATTCCAGAGAGCATCATCCCATTTCCCAGAGACAAGGGGAGCTCCTGTGGAGAGAACCCTTCTGCCAGCTCTGCCTGTGTGCACCAAAGTGTGACCTGGTCCCTTTGCCAGCAGCTCTGTTGGGATCACAGAGCTTGCCCTGATCCATCAGTATTCCATGGTGCAGAACAAATCAGCTCCTCTTCAAAGGAAGTCCTTAGAGAATTCCATTTTTGTACATCCCAAAAACCTTCATCGAGGTGCTGTTGCCCATCTCCATCTCAAAGATGCCATAAAACAGTGCCTGGAGCTGCTTCATGCAGGGTTGGAAGGGAATAATGGTGTAGCCTGTCCAGGAGCCTGGGCTGGCAGATCAGTTCAGTTTTTGCTGTCTATGACAGGAGGGTTCTGTTTTCCTTCTCTCTTTGTGTATTTTTTCCATCCTGGCTGTGTATTGTGTTTAGTTTTATCTCTTTTCATTTAGGAACAGTTCTGTTTAGCACACAGTGTGAAAGCCAAACCCAACTTTATCCACTCCTACAGATAAGTCCATAGTCTATAGAAAAACAAGCAGAAAACAATACTCTGCTGTTGTAAGAGCAGAGGATGGCATATTATATAAAAGCCAATGAATCACAGCTCAGGATTTCAATCTGTGGCTGATTCACAGTCAGGATAGATTGAGGTCACCTGCAGAGACTACTTTTGAGAAAGTGAGAGAGGCTGGAGTGGTGAAACAGCTGCATAATTCAGGGAAGTGCCTTAATCACTTTTTTGACATCGCTATTATTTACCAGGATCCAAGTCCAGTTCCATTTGTTACACTCTTTGCAAAGATGGACTGTATGTTTTATCTTGTTTTGAAAATACATCTGTTTTTGTCAGGGAACACAGCCAATAAGAGCCCAGAAATGAAACATTTCATTCGTTACTGAGCAGAGCTTTCCATCAACTTTAACGTTAAAGATTTCCAATAATTTGGTGGGAGGTTGAAGATCTACATGTCTATTAGTTTCCTGTCACTGTGCTTAGGATGTGAGAAGATGACTCTGGAAAAAAATTGAGAGTTTCTTTTCTTCCAACTTCACTTAGGTGGATACACAGGGAGAGGTGCTGATGTTGTTGGGATGCAGCACATTTGTTAAACAGCTCTTAGTCAAACAGATATATAACATACATAAATATAAATATAGATAAAATCCTTGGAAACCAGATCAGTCCCAGCCACTCCCTTGTGGCTGCTACTCACTGAATTCTCCTAAGTTTTGCTGGTTCTCTTCTCCTCCTAATGACCCCTCTTCTCTGTTTTGTCTCTCCTCTTGTAATCCTTCCATAGTTCCCTTCAATAATTGCAATCTTCTGACTATATTAACTTCATTTTCCAGCAGAAAAATGGATTTAGATATGACTTTTTCCTATTGTTTTTACTCCTGGGATGCAAGCAAAATGGGCTCAAATACTTTTCCTGCTTTCCAGAAGAATTTTGCTTCATCAAAGAAAAACTGTTGTAATTAATTTTATCTCTAATTGCTAAAATATTGAGCCCTGTGATTTCCTCCCATTCCTTTTGAAGAGGCTGCAGTAAAGTGCCTTGTGTTTGCAGTGTGTCCCAGTGGGAAGTTCGGGAAGGACTGTGCCGAGGTGTGCCAGTGCACCGAGAACGGGACCTGCAACCCCATCGACGGATCCTGCCAGTGCTTCCCAGGCTGGATAGGCATGGACTGCTCCCAGAGTAAGCAAAGGGCCAGTTTTCCACCTCTGCCTTCACATATCCTGCTTTTGTGCTCGTTTAGTGCTTTCTGAAAGTTAAAGACAGATTCTGGGGAAATCCCCCTTGTATTACAGCCTTACTCTCTTTAAAGCGGATTTCTTTTAATTAATCTAAGTTAGCTTTGGATTGAATTTGTTTCTGCATTTGGAGTTTGCAGAAGCCCTGACTGGCTTTTATTCCAGGAAAGGGAGGTCACAAGCTCTTATCAGAAAAGAAAGCTCCATGCTCCCTTTTAATTTCTAGCTGGATTCCTTTTTATTTATTTTTTTAATAGTTTTCTTTCAGCTATTACATTTAGACATTATTAACCAGTAAATGTTTTCATGTACCAAATCCCTAGAACTGAGAAATTAGGTAGCTGAAATATTTCTATTAAATGTAATTTAATTGTAAAAGTCAATGTGGCCTTGTAGGGATGAAGGATTTCTTTCTGAATATTGCCAAGGTAGAAGATTGGCATTTGCTGATCCCAAAGTGTCATTTCCTGAGAGCATCCCTTAATTGAAGCTAGATCACAGAGGGAGGCAATATCCGATCATTCAGAAATGTTACTTCATATTCAGGATACAACTAGCATATTAGACAGCATTCCAGAGTAAAATATATTAAACTCCAAGTGATAAAGCAGGAATCGGATAAAAACAGACGGCTGTAATTTTGCTTTTATTGTGTGTCTTCCACAGGCAGAATATTGCTGTCACTCAAAAACAGCAGAAAAAAGGGAAAAAAGACAGAAAACTGCACATATTCCTCATTACATTTAGCCATCTAATTAGGAAATGTCTGTTAGTGTCTGTTAACCTTGAAAAAAGGTGGTTTTCCTTACAGAGCGAGGCAGGCCAGGTCAGCAGGAGCAGTTTAGCAGGCAGCACCTGGCTCTGGGCACTCTGGGTTCTGGATGAGCACAGGGGGATGTGGCTCTTTGCTCAGCTACTCCTTGCACACAAAGGGAACCTCTCCCAAGGTGACCCTGTCCCCCTCCAGGCTCCCGTGGGCACCTGGCCTCCCCTCCCAGGCTATTTCTGGCCCTGTGCTCCCATTAACCTGGAATGACCTGGGCTTGGAGCTGCTCAGGAGATAATTTTAGCTCTGACTCCAGAGCCAGTTCTGGATTCACTAACAGCCCCTGCAGCTCTGCCTTAGAACAGCATTGGGAAAGTATTTCTGGTTGCTTATAGCACAACCACTTCAGGCCAAATCCTGCTCAGCTTTACATTGTGTGAGTCCAGTGACCTTTTGTTTGATTTACGTCATGGAAGGGTTTTTTGGCCATTCGTTCTGGCCTTAGAGGTGTCTGTCAAATGCCAGAAACTTCCATTTATCATCCATGGAGCCATTGGCATCCATGGAAATAGGCCTGGTGTCTGTACTTTCAGGTTTCCTGGGAACCGTGCCTTATTAATTCATGTCTTTAGCAGGAAGCAATGGAAAGTGCTTTTTAAAGCAAAAATATAGTTGTTATATTGAAGGCCTATCATAATTCCGGATCTTTTAGTTTGGCACTAATAACTGTAACTTACTGCATTCATTTTTGGAGGGAGGCTTACAATAACTTTTTTTAATGTATTAATATTGTACTTGTTGAAATATAAAATAGAACCAGAGATTTTAATTTAATATTAGCCCCCCAACAACAATAGCAATCTGAATTTGTGGATGGGAATTCATACTGGAAGAAGTTTTCTTTACATTTTTTTCATGATTGGAGTAGCACTCTGTGCTTCAAATGAATGTGGTAATTTTAGTGGTTGATTGCATAGCAAAGTAAACCTGAATAGCTGGGCTTTATTATGCAAGAATTCCAGCATGTCAAAAAGAAAATTAAATTACCTCCATATCCTGCAACCCTGCCTAAATTGTCCTCACAGATAATGCCAGTGAGGCATGGAGAGTGGCCACAGCACAGAGAGGGGTCGTGTCGAGGGTCACTGGCTCACTGCAGCAAAAACCTGATCCTGCCTCCTGCCCTAACAGAGGCTCATGGAGTCACAGAATCCTGGAATGGTTTGGGTTGGAAGGGACCTTGAAGCCCATCCCATTCCACCCCTGCCATGGGCAGGGACACCTTCCCCTATCCCAGGCTGCTCCAAGCCCCAGTGTCCAACCTGGCCTGGGACACTTCAGGGATCCAGGGGCAGCCACAGCTGCTCTGGGCACCTGTGCCAGGGCCTGCCACCCTCCCAGGGAACAATTCCTCCCCAATATCCCATCTCTCCCTGCCCCCTGTGTCCTGTCCCTCCATCCCTTGTCCCAGGTCCTCTCCAGCTCTGCCAGAGCCCCTTTAAGCCCTGGAAGGGGCTCTGAGCTCTCCCTGGAGCCTTCTCTTCTCCAAACTGAACATTCCCATCTCTCCCAGCCTGGCTCCAGAGCAGAGGGACTCCAGGCTTTGCAGCATCTCCGTGGCCTCCTCTGGACTTGCTCCAGCAGCTCCAAATCCTTCTGCTGTTGTTCCCCAGGGCTGGAGGAAGCTCTGCAGGTGGGGTCTCACCTGAGTGGGGCAGAGGGGCAAAATCCCCTCCATCGACCTGCTGCAAGAAATCCCTGTGCCAGAGAGAGGTTACAGGGTGGCACCAGGGTTTGGAGAGCAATTGGTGGCTTGGAAGGACTAGCCACTGTCCAGGCAGGACTGCTCACTGTCCAGGGAGGACTGCTCACTGTCCAGGGAGGAGTGGTCACTGTCCAGGGAGGACTGCTCACTGTCCAGGGAGGAGTGGTCACTGTCCATGGAGGACTGCTCACTGTCCAGGAGTCACTGCCAAGTTCAGCAGGTTCTGCCTTTGCTGATGTCTCACAGGTTCTCCCTTTATTGTTGCTCCTCCACAGCACTAACACAGTATCCTTGCTTTCTTTTTTGTCAGCTGACAAATGTTTTTTATTTTCATAGCTTGTCCCACTGGGTTTTGGGGTCCTGATTGCTTTCATTCATGCAACTGCCACAACGGAGCGCTGTGCAGCCCCTACGATGGAGAATGTAGATGCACCCATGGTTGGACGGGGCTCTACTGCACTCAGCGTAAGCCTTTCAGAGACAGGGAATCTGTCAAAGTATGTGCTGCTACCTCGTGTCTCTTCCAAGTATTGCAGTTTTCCCTGGAAAACCACATGCTTCCTACTCCTGATAACCTCACATCACCCCTAAGAAATAGTCCTGAAGCTTTCCAAGTTTTTTTATGCCTTTGGCGCTCGGTAAAGGAGGGGAAAATAATTTAGATTATTGATTCATTGTTAGAATTTGCACAGTCAGTGTCCCTGCTTGTTAATGCCCCAGTATTTATGGTCTGATTTAGGAAAATGGTAGAGATTTCTCACCCTACTGCCAAATTACTGGTATGAAAGAGGAGATCCAATTCTGGTGAGCCTTTTAAGAAGGTTCTTTCACTTGCAAATAATTGATTGATCCCTGGTCTTCCAGAGAGTTTCTGTTTAGCATCTTCTTTCACTTCTTGAAAATGTAGTTTGTATGGATGGGTCAAGTTTTCATTCTTCTGAAACACTTTAGAGGCAATTCTGTAAAGATGAGAAACATTACTTCAAGAAAATTGTCTGTCACAGTATCTCTGCATTTAGACCATCAAATAAATGTCATTAAATATACAGAGGCTGAAAATCCATAGATTTATACACCCACATACTTTGTGCTGATACCACATCTGAGTTTGACTTTCAGCTTATTTCTTACTCTTTCCTCGTTCTGCTTGCTGAAAGGTTGCCCAGCTGCTTTTTATGGGAAGAACTGTGCCAATGTGTGCCAGTGCCAGAACGGAGCCGACTGTGACCACATCACCGGGCAGTGCACGTGCAGGACGGGCTTCACCGGCAAACAGTGCGAGCAGAGTGAGTACCACACACCTCAGGGCCCTCTTATCCAGAGCGGGGGTGTTTCAGAATTCTTGCACAAACTGGCTCTTAAATGAGGTGTTGGTGTCAGCAGGACAATGACTCAGGCACTTTATGTAATCCATAGGGAGGAGAGGGCACCTCTGGAAAACTGGGCAGTATAAGCATAAAGAAATTCACTGAATCCCTGCAAATTTGGCCTTTCATTCCCAGGCTAAAGTTAGGTGAGAGAAAGCAAATCACTGCACTCAGTGCTGGCTGGATGGGGCCTTCCCAAACAACCTGTACCTGATTGATGCACACCCAGCCCTAAAGCTGCCCCAGGCCTTGTTAATGCTGCTGGGAGCAGCAGCCCCGGGTTCCCAGTGCATAAAGACAGATGGGTTAAAAGGAACAAGTCCTTTCTGCTCTCTGCCTTCCAAAGAATAGTGGGAATATGGGGCTTTCCCACAGAAGTGATGATGTAAACATGGACCAAATAAAGATTCATCTTTATAATGAAAGCAGATCGAGGGAAACAAGGTTGCTTGCCATTTTGGGAAGGGTCTGTGTTTAGCTTGAGCAGTGAGTGTTTCCCAATGAACCTCAGTGATGGTCAATGAACCCTGAATGAGGGTCCTGGAAATTGGATGTGCTGTAACTGGATAATTACTTGTTTGTCTAGTGCACTAATTCACAAGGAAATTCTCACCCATTTACTGTGATTCTAAACACAGGTGAAATCCACCTCATCTTCCCAAGTCATTAATTCCACAGGGTTCCCTCACTTTTTTTGGCAGTAAGGTAATTCAGTAACATTCCTGTCAGAAATGCAAGGGCAGACTTTTTAACTGTAGTTTGCTACATGGATCTTTATGGAGGTATTTGTGCACGTAACTTAATTCATAAATATGTTTTTGCACACACTTGCATTCAGCAGACTATCTCAGAGCCAAACTTGTGTGCTCTTGGGGGATTGCACATGGCACCACTGTAACTCTGTAAGTGGCCAGCTTCCTGGAATTTGGGGATGCTCGTCACTGCAGCCACAATCAAAATAGGAGACTAAAGAATCCCACAAAGAACTGCACAATAGCAGATTTTATACAAGGAGCTGCTTTATGATTTGACCCCTGTATAAAGCCTGAGGCTTTCTTTTCTATACAAACTACAAATGTATTTATTTACTTGTTTTTCTACTGTTTAATCTAAAAGAATCTCTTCATTAAAGCTCCTTCCTTCTCCAAATCCTGCTGAATGGGCAGTCACACTGCATTGCAGATGAAATGTTTAATTGCAGGCATCATTTCTGTGGTGCAGTCCCAAAATTGAGGCCCTATTCATTTTAAGAAGGCTGCAGGCTAATAAAAGAATGAGCATTAATTGTAATAATTTTATTTTTTTCTTTGTTTGAGTACCAACAGATTAAAGATGCAATTTGAATACACACTGCAAATCAATAAACAGATACTGGCTATGGTTCTGTACTTAATATTAAATTTTGTCTGCCAGAAGCTACTTTGAGACTGACATTGGGGAGGTGTTGTCATGCAATGAAAAACATTTGCAGTGACACACAAGGAATCACATCATGAACAATATATTCCACAGGATCATAGCAAGGGTGCATGTTTTCAGTAATGCAGTTTCTCCATGGAATAAGTGGGATGTGACAGACATTGTTTCTTTCAATTTATTCTTGAATAATGCTTCCAGAAGTACAGTAAGCTGCCCATAGATTTATTGTAATAGCCCATCATGGTAATTGTATGAATAAATTTCTCAGCCGGACATTCAGTCTTTGATAGAAACACAAAGACAGGATATAAATTCCTTCTGTATTAGGAGCCCTGAAACCAAAGCAGAGCAAATCAAACCGTTCAGATGCTCAATTCTGAAATTCCACCTGCAAAGTTCTATTCACCTGGCACTGGCAGGGATGAGTAGGAAAGCATGTGTAGTTTGTTTGGTAAAGGCTGTTGGGTTCATACAAAGGTTCATTAAAAGTTTTCTTTGCAACTCCCCCCACAAAAAATAAGACAGGTAAGTTGGTGAAGAATGCTGAGCTCTGTTGTCTGCAGCTTCTGAGCTCAAGCTCTGTTAAACTCTGAACATTTTTAATATACATCAAGTCTTCTAAAGCATTTGTACCTATAATTTATTTCATTCTATGAATTTTCCAGAAAGTTACAGTTTAATAAGTAACAAACTGCACATAGAATGCATTTAGCTCCTGCTTTAGACTAATAATAATTTCACATTAGGGTGTTATCCTAGAGATCCTAAACCCAGGGAGACTTCTCTACTGAATTTCCCATGCTGAGTGTTGTGCCCATTCCCAAAAACAGAAGAATTCTTTCCAATGTTTTTCTTTGGCTCCCCAGAGTGCTCTCCAGGAACATTTGGTTATGGTTGCAAGCAATTGTGTGAGTGCATGAACAATGCAACGTGTGACCACGTCACAGGCACCTGCTACTGCAGTCCAGGCTTCAAAGGAATCCGGTGTGATCAAGGTACAGTGGAATTCTCTCTATAAAATCCCTCTGTCTCTCCCCCTCTCCAGTGATGTACTTAAAAAATACAGTGTTTCAAAAATGAAATGCACGATTCAATTTACAGTGTGTTATGAATTACTTTTAACAGCGGCTCTTATGATGGAAGAATTAAACCCCTATACTAAAATTAGCCCTGCTCTTGGATCAGAGAGGCACTCAGTGGGAGCAATCATTGGAATTATTATTCTCCTTCTAATTATTATGGTCTTGCTGGCACTCTTTGTGTGGTATCGACGGAAACAGAAGGAGAAGGGCCATGACATGCCAAGTGTGTCTTACACTCCAGCCATGAGGATGACTAATACAGATTACTCACTTTCTGGTAAGGGTCTTTTTATGTTAATCAAATCCAGACTCATATTCCTGTCTGTTGGGGAAAAACAAGTTTCTGTGATGTGTAACATGTGTTATTGATCCTCAAAAATAATGACACTTCCATTCTTCCTCAGAATACCGTGATCTTTAAACACATAAATGGGACAGGAGAGCAAATATAAAACTGGTTTGAGCTGCTTTCTGTGTGGAAGTTGATATGGGATATACCTAGGCAGGAAATATGCTGTATGGAATTTTGAGTCATGTGCATTCCTGTTGCAGTGCAGAGATGTTTCCCTTTGAGAAACCTTGGGAAGCCTTTTTTGGTTGAAGGAATGGGATTGGCTGGGTCAGTCATAAGGTTTTGGTTTTGTTTGTGCTGCAGACTGTGATTTGAGGTGTCTGTTTGTTGTCACTCTCTGCTGTGTGCAGACCAGTCCTTGTCACGTAGACAGCTGGTGGGAATTGTCTTCCCAGGAGCTGAGGAAAGCAGGGGAGAGGAAGAGGAAGGCTCTTCAGGATCAAAGCATTCTTCCTTCTCTCTATCCTCTGTTACTGCCATGGAGGACAGCTTTTCTTGACAAATTGTCTGAATTTTGGAAGATGTGATCTCCTTTTTAATGCTGTCATTGAAAACAATGACAAATTGAAAAAAGGCAGAGACTGGGCCTTTCCTCTTACTTTCTTTGTGCAGTCCTTCTAGCAATAGAAATTGTATCACTCAGGAAGCTGCAGCAAAGTGGGGTCAGGCATCTCTTTCTGGAGGTCACAAGGACAGTTTTCTTCCTCCTCCCCATTGGAAAACTCTGCCATCTGAGCTTGCAGAGGAAGATTAAGAAGATAGAAACACACTGCTCCATCTTCAGCTCATTATAAATTGCCTGCAGGTACCAGCATTGTTTCAAGTTTTGGATTTTGCCCTTTTTAGAAGGGCATTTACAAATTCTAGACAAGAGCTTCTGAAAACTCCCTGCCAAATCCTGACTGTCCTCCAGTACATTCCCCTGCTGAGACTTTCAGTAACTGCCCCAAGTTTGGCCTTACCAGTGCTGCTTCTCCTCCATGGAGCAGAGAGGCAGGAAAGGGGCTGATGTGCTCCTTCCTCAGCAGAACACGGAGAGGTGGGTAGGAGACAAGCTCACAGAAAAGGAATATGTGGCTGGCAAGACAACACGTGTGTGTCTGAGGGCAGGTGTGTTACAGGGGATGCTGAAGGGCAACAGTGATGCCTCAGCTTTTAGCTTTTATATTTTTCAGGTTCTACACTGCTTTAGTGGGTGGGTCTGGGCTCCACACTGGGGATGGTGAGCTGTGCACAGAGCAGGGAGACAAAACAATTCCTGCTCCAGCTGGGCACCAAGGACAGATGATCCAAATCTCAGCCCAGGAGCACAAAGCCCGTGGAATGAAGAGAGGAAAACAAGGATGGGACTGCAGGGGCTGCAGTGGGATTGGACACTGAGCTGCAATGTGCACATGGAGCAGAGCTGAGCCCAGGGACAGAGCCGTGACCCTCGTGCATTTTGGGGCCATTTGGGTTCATCTTGGGTGCAGCCCTGGCTGGGCTCTGCTGCTGCCCAAGGTGGATCCATGGAGGAGATCCTTGAATCAATCCCTGCTTTATTCTGTAGCTCTGCCCAGCCTCTGCTCCAGCTCAGCCCTCACAAGGCATCAGCAGCAATATTGCACAGAGTGAACAGGGATTCCAACCTTCACCTGCAGGTTTGCTTGTGGATTAAGGGCACAATACCATGTAGATGTGCTTGTCCAATGGATATAATCCCATGTAAAGCCAGGTACTTTGGCAAGAATTCCACCTGGATGGCTGCAGCATCCAGCCCTCTGTGAGTTGTAACATTATGGCTCTCCTGAATCACCAGTTGTTCTTTTGCCTGTTTACTCTTCTTTGGGTAATGGTGGTGTTGTTTCTGAGTAGAGTCACATACACAGATCCCTAGCTCCTGGAGGCAGCAATTTCCTCCAGCACATTTATTTCTGGAGGATGTTTTTGGTCTTTACGTCCTCAGCTCCTGTGAGGCTGATAATCCATGCATATGTGTGAGAGAGATTATGAGGAAAGGGAACCCCCTGGGCAGCCCTTGGACTCTTTTGCATTTGTGGATGAAGGATGTGGCAGCAAAACACACACTTTGCCCAGCAGCCAGAGGAGAAGAAAACCTCCTGTGCTGGGAGGGCTTATCCACAGCACATGGCTCCAAGAGCAAACTTTCCCAAATAAGCCTGAAATCAAAATGGTGCTCCCCAGCCTGAGAGCAGTGCACTACATCCAAAAAAGATTTTAAAGATTTTTTTGTTTAGTTCAAGGAGATGGGGCCAGAAGGGAAAACAGTGTGGAGAGCAGCAGAGATTTTTTAGTGGGACTTTCACAAAGATTGGCTATGGGCTGAAGTGATGTTTGAGGTTCTATCAAGGTCTTAGCAAACTTTCTGGTATGGGTGAATCCTCTGCTGAGAGCCAAGAGCTAAGCAAAGCTTAACACAAATAAAGCATCATGGATCTTGAAGCCTAGACGAGACACTTCCAGAAATGATCTGCAGATGATGGGTGGTGGGAGGTGGCAGAGTGAACCCTCCAGTTTGGAGCCTTCAGCCGTCTCACTGACACTGTGTGGGCAGAGAAGAGCCACACAAAGAGAAGGAAGCAGCTCCATTTAGCAGTTGAGAAGTCTGGGTTTGTATTTACTGCAGAGTGCTCACTTATTCCCTTTTTTGTGGCTGGGCTGATGCCCAGTTCCCACAAGACTGTCCTGCAGGATGGGGACTGATGTTCTCTGTGGCACCCCAGAGCCCAGGCTCAGAGCAGGAGCTCAATCTAATTCCCTTTCCTTTAGGCATTTAAGTCTTTCCTTGCTGTTCAGACCAGAATAAAATTCTCACCTTTGGGAAGAGAGAGATTTTTTGTGGGTTGGGGGTTTTTTTTTTGTTGGTTTTTTTTGTTTTTTTTTTTTTTTTTTAAACAGGGATAGCATTAAATTTGAATTTGATGTATTTCCAGCCAGCAGTTACAAGAGCTTCATGAATAAATGTGTAGAAAATGGACTGTGCTATCAAGGTAAATCAGCCTGGGTGGCTACTTAAGTATCGACCAGAAGGAACTGTGTGGAAGGAGTAATTCTGAGTTCAGGGTGCTGCATGCAAGGGGGGGGAAGAAAAGGATTTTGGGGGATGTGTACAAGCTCAGAATCATCAATTCAACACTGTGCTAAGTACTAGAGCACTCTGGTAGAGTTTTATTGCAGCTCATTTTGGGTGCAGAGAACAAGCTCCAGCCAGCTGAGCTGGGTGAGAACTCGCCTGGTCTCAGGTGGCTCCCGGTGACATCGTGGGCACCTCAAATCCCACAGCACAGCCACAGGCTCCTGGCTCTTCCTTCCAGCTGGTCCTTGCCCACAGGCAGTGGATAAGGGAAGGGGGAGGGCAGAGCTGACTCCCCCAACACTTTCAGAACAGAAAGACACAGATCCAAGTGTCCTGTTTAACTGTGGGGAGGGGGGACGGGCCCTTGAGCCAAGCCCCCAGCAGGCTCAAGGCTGTATTGGTGGGGGGCACACACTGACATGAAGGGTGGGTTCCAGCCCCAGTTCCCACTGGCAGACCCCAAGAGAGATGTGTTTCCTGTTGGTTTGATTGTAAATGTCACAGAGCTGTAGCTGGGGGAGATGGCAGAGCCCTGGCAGCCTGGCTGACAGATGTTCACTGCAAGACTTCAGCTCTGGAATCACATCCTGATCTGAGATCATTTGTCAGCAGCAGCTCTGGAAAACAGCTGGGACTCAAAGGCTCTGCACTTATCACAAAATAGAGCTGACCTCGAAAATCTCTTTGCATATTTCAGCAGAAAAGCAGTGCTTGGTCAGAGCTGCACATGCAGGAGCAGCTTCCCCCGAGCCCTGAGCCACAGCCCTTATGTAAGAGACACCCTGCAGATAAACCCACTTGGAAACAGGATAGTCTGCAGTAAATTAAGCTCAATCTAGATCTCCACAAGATGTCAGCAAAGCAAAGTGCATGTTCAGAGTGAGGCAAATGCAGAGGGCCAGGAGAGGAGGTGATGGTGGCAGGGGACCCCAGGTCCCTGTCCTTCCTCACCCATTGCTGCCAGCCTTCAGTAAAGGTGGTGATGGGCTCAAACAGCCACCCCAGCACTTCATCACCTTTTGATGGATGGAAGACCATGAAGGTCTTCCCCTCAAGCAACCTCTCTGCCTGCAGTTTGAGCCCATGCTTTAACAAAGCCTGTTCATTTGCTCCTTACAGGGCCTCGTTGTTTAAATGATGCTGCTCCAGTTGAAATTTTCCATCCCTTCTCCTGATGGTACTTTGAAATATGTATCTACTTGTTATGCAGCTGGAACCAGATTGGGATTGATGTTTTCATTAGAACTGCCAGTATAAATATGATGCCTTTCTTGGTAAATTATTCTGTTTGGTAAATGTGTTTATAACTTAAATTGAGGAAATAGATAAAATGTCTCTGTGCATGTAAACTGCCCAGGTTTGCCTTTCAGGGCTCCAGCTTTGGTTTTTGAAAAGCCTTTGCACACAATGAAAATGTTTTGGACTCCTTGGTACAGTTATAGCACCTTGATTTCCAACATTACTCCTGGTTTTGTAACAAAAAAGGTTTCATTTGTTTCAACTGCAAGACTGCCCGAGGGGGGGCTCTTCCATTAAACTGAGGAGGCAGCTGTGCTGCAGCCCATGCATTTCCTGAGTTTTGCCTCACTCCCCTCACCTGCAAAGCAGCTGTCAGGAATTACTTTATTAACACCTTCAAGAAGATAACACTGTATTATGTAAATATTTTGCTTTTTTTCTCTTATATTTAATGCTAATAGTCAAGAGCACACCGTAATGCAGAGTAGATTGCATCTGCAGATGTTTTAGAACACCCAGTACTCCAGCAAAGATTTCTAAGCTAGATTGTCTCTACCATGTTTTCAGTTTCTTAAGAACTGTTGTGGCTTCCAAAGTATTTTGTGCTGACTTGTTTTCTTCCCAGATTTATCCCAGGGTAGCAGCAGTGTTCATTGTTTTTCCAATCCAAGCTACCACACTCTCTCATGTGGGGTGACTTCACGCTTCTTTCCCAGTAATCTGGATGGAAACAGCTCCTGTAAGGTAGATATTACCCCACCCCACTGTAGCAATGTTCTTATCAGTTCAAGGAAATCACCCAAAGCAATGCCTCTCGGGCCCTGTTGTCTGCCAGCACTATTTCAAACTCCAGGGTAGCATTCCTGATGTCCCAGACACTGAAAGGTTGGATTTCCCCTCCCTGTGTCTTCCCAGTCTCTGGGAATGGGAACTGGAGTCTCATGCCTGTCTGGGTCAGCAAGACTTGGTGTCTTAGCAACTCTGAGGTATGTTTGCTTCTCAGAAGAGATAAATAACTCAATAAATATAATTATCCATTAACACAACACCAGTAAATCAATGAAGCATTAATCAGTAATCTCTCTTTGCCGTTTCACTGTTCCCACATCAGACACACAAATTCCCTGCTGACACAGACAGGCAGAAAGATGCAAGAAGGTACCTGGGGTGCTTTTGAGGACTCGTGCAGGGACACTCTGGGAGCTCTGCTGCCACTCCTGGCTCTCCAGCAGAGCTATTCCAACCCTATCACTGGAACATCCAGGAGCACTTTCCTTATAATTTGTTGCAATTGATTCCCTCAGACCATTCATGAACAACACTGTGACTCAATTCAGCGCTTTAGCATTAAATTTAGATATGGCAAATGGTAAAACAGCTCCTCCTTTGGAGCCTTAATAAGGCCAGGTGGGGCAAAGCAGAGGGAGCACAGGAAAAAAGAAATGCAGCTGATTTCATCAAGGTTGTCAGCTTCTAAAATGATGGTATTTCAGGCTGTGTCACCTTAATCCAAATGTAACTATTCACTGGAATGCCACATGAACAAGATTAATGCAAAAAAAAGACAGTATTGTACAGGACAGGCAAAAATATCTCTACATGTGCTCCTGTAAGTAATTTCTTCGTTGTTAAAAGAAAATCTCATTAAAATGTAATAAAAAGGCTGGCTCCAGAGATTTCTCAGAGAAATGTTTAGACAGATGTGTAAATATGTTTTCTGATGTAGATGGTCCCCTTGCATCATGAATTTTTGCTCCCCAAATTGAAAGTGCAAATGCTCATAATGTCAAATTTAGGATGAGCGTCCATCTGGACCACTAATCCTTTTGCAGATATTTAAATCAATTCAGAAAAGGTCAAAGCCAGCACCTATCCTGGATTCCCAGCCTGCAGTGCCATCTTCTCACAGAACTACTTCAAAAATTAAGCTGCTGGAAAGGTTTAATCCCCAAGTGGTGCTTTGGGACTCTCCTGGAAAATGCTCCCCCTGCTGCAGCTCTGGCCATTGTAGTCAGTCAGGTTGTCCTGATAATCACTGAAAGACCAATAGAATTGGTATTTTCAGGGTATTTATCAAAATATATGGCCTGATATTTCCTTTAGATCTCCCACCATCTCACTTATTAATGAGAATGCTTTGCAGTGCTGAATAGCTGAGGATGGCCAAGAATACACTTTGTCTGTCTGCAGCTCTGCAGCCAAGTAAGACAAAGGAGCATATAAAGCCCTAATAGCTGCCTTAACGAGTTCATTTCCAAATCAGTTTGCCTGGTGCCATTCTCACTTTCTGCAGAGAAATGTGCACAAGTTGTACTTGGAGGATTCATTTCTTTAGAGTGCCAGCTGGGGTCACAAAGGAACCAGCACAGATGCAAAATGAAAAAACAATGGCAGAGGAATGTCTGAAGTGCTGAGCCAGAGCCGGGATGTGTCACCTCCCTGTGCTCCAAGGAGATCAGGCTGGAGCTGGGCTGGAGCCATTCCTCTCAGAGCCTGGGCAAAGCACAAGGGCAGGACAGCTGGGAGCCCTGCTCCAGCTTGAGGAGTTTTCTCTCCTGTGCTTCCCTGCCCTTCTCTCCTTTCTTTCTGTGTCTTTTGCCTTTTCTCCCCTCTTTTCTTGGTGATCACTCTACTCCATTATCTTTTTTCTTTCTCACGTCCCTACTCCTCTTCTCTTCCCCAACTGTACACATTTAATTCCTGTTTCCTTCCTGCTCTCCTCCCCATCCCTCTCCCATCTCCAGGCTCCCTGCCTGGGGGCTCCCAGCACTGTGGACTGACCCTGCTGCAGCTCCCGGGGTGGCACCTCTCTACTCCATTATCTTTTTTCTTTCTCAAGTCCCTACTCCTATTCTCTTCTCTTCCCCAACTGTACACATTTTCCTTCCTGCTCTCCTCCCCATCCCTCTCCCATCTCCAGGCTCCCTGCCTGGGGGCTCCCAGCACTGTGGACTGACCCTGCTGCAGCTCCCGGGGTGGCACCTCTGGAGGGAAGGAGGTGGGTGAGGCTTCAGCAGGAGCTGAAGGGCCCAGCACTGCCCTGGGGACAGTTTGTGACACGGGATGGGAGCAGGGCCAGGCTTCAGCAGGGGGAAGGATCTCACCTCCTCATGCCCCCTCTGCCAGACAGACATTTGGCCACTGCTCAGGTCCTGAAGGTGAGCCACGGGAGCTGCTGAGAGACAAGCACCAGTGGAGGCATCAAACCCTCCCCAGTGTGTTTGGGGCTGGGGTTGTGCCAGTGGAGCACAGACTGAACACAGGCAGGAGGAAAACAAGTGGGAGGATAAGGGGAGCCTATCAGAAGAGACTGGAAAAGGCTTGGCTGCTTTTATCTGGCAAAATGAATGCTGAGGGGGAGCATGATTGCCATCTATAAATACAGCAAGGTAAACACAAGGAGGGAGGAGAGCTATTTAAGTGAGATGACAGAGCTGGCTCGAGAACAAATGAGGATGAACTGGCCATGAATGCATCGAAGCTGGAAATTAGATTTCTACCATCAGATCAGTGAGATTTTGGAATAGCTTCCCAGGAAGACTAATGGGACAAAGAAATCTGATTATTGCTGAAATGGAGCTTGATCAGCTCTCTGGGGGATTGTGTGCCTGGGTGTTTGCAGTAAAAGGCAGCTGGACACAGGGACTGGGGCATCCAAGCCCTTGCAGTCCTGTCCCCAAGGCCTGTGCCAGGTGCCAGCAGGAGCTTGTAGGGCTGAGCTTCATCTCTGTGCAAGGACCCCGAGAATGGATCTGCAGCTCTGAGGCTCAGGAGGAGGCTCCAGCATCTCAGTGCAGGCTTTTAACTCCCAGCACTTTGCCACAAGTAATTGCTCTTCCCACAGGAGAGAGCTTGGCAAGTCAGCTGGGGAGAAGGCTGGAACCACTGGAGCCAGGAGATGTTTTACTGTGAGTTTAACTGAAGCCAGACCTTGACCTTTGCTTAGGAGCTCCTGCAAGTAGGTTTGGCCTTTTTTCTCATGACATGTGCAGCACCAGCTAGTAATGATGCTGCAAGTTACCAAGGACTATCAGACATGAACTCAGGTGAACTTTTGCCACAGAATTACCAAAAATTTCCAAAGCAGGTAAATGGCGATTACGTACCTCCATACCTGTGTCTTCACATCAAAGCTCTCATTGCTGAGCCACAGACCAGATTTCAGCTGCTGAGGACCTGTTTTGTTCAGAGGGTGTTTGGCAGCACCACTCACAGAACCCCTCCCAGGGCTTCAATGCCAGCTTTGTGACTGAGTTATTGCATTGTGCATGAAGTAAAAACAAACCTCACTTTTACCAAGCACTGCAAAGTTTGTGTAGAATCCTCTGTGTAAAGAATGAGGCTGCTGCACTGGTCACAAGCAAATGGAGGATTCTCACCTTGAGCTTTTGCAAAGCTCATAATTCCACCCTCATTCCCTTCCAGCATTGCAGCAAAAGTCCAGGTGTTGGTTTCTACAGACATCATAAAAATCAATTGCTAGTAGATGTCCTGATTTTTTTAAAGCCAGCAGTTTCACATCTATTAAAGGAAGTCCTAAATTCTACCAAAGACTTCACATAAAATTGGAACATGCAAAACAGAGGTCACTGGAAATGGTCTGACTGGATGTCACCCAGCTAATAAAAAGGAATTCAGTACAGAAAGCACCTTTAAGTACCTCTGACTAAAACCTGCCCAACTAAAAGGAAGACTGCAAATAGAGAATGGCTGCAGCATGTTCAGGATGGGCATCTAAAACTGAGCAGCACAAGCTTGGATCAGGGAGACCTGAAGTCAGTAGTTAGGGAAATAAATGTCAAATTATTGATTGCTCTCCTGGAGGATAAAGGTATGATGGAATTCCTGCCAGCACTTCTTTGCCTAATCGCCATGGACTTAAAAACCTGGGCATTGACAAATGGCTGGTGGTGATCAAGTGGCCACTGTCATCTATCCAGCTATTTCAGACAGGCAGATAATGACTTTGTTTACTCAGGCTGGTATCTCCTTGATCTTAAAGGAAAAGTTGCCAGATATGAGGTAGTTTTAACCAAATTGCTAAAATTACCAGCCTGGAATTTTAATGGATAAATTTACTATGAAGGATTTCTTCCTGCAGAAAAGCAATTTTGCTTCACAGTAAAAATTGAAGTATTTTCTATCTTAAAAAAAAAAGTTAACAAATTATAGTGCGCTAAGAAATGATAGTAGCACAAAGAGACAGCTATAATCACATTCAGAAAAATTGCATTCAGAAAAACTTAGAAATGTCCCCAAATCATTTCATTAAAAAAATCAATTCTAGCCCATAGCTCTTCATGCCAAATTTTAGGTTTGTGAGCTGATTTATAAATCCTGCAAAGCCACAACTTTTAATAGAAACCCCAAGACTTTAATAAATGTGCTGTAAGTGTGCAGCTGGGTTGAAAAATCAGCATTTGTGCTCTGGCTGCAAGTTCTGAAGAGAAGAATGAAGCTGTGGGCTCTGCTGAGGAGAACTGATGGTGCCAAGGGTAGAATTCCTCCCAGTGACCACATTCCAAATGGATCTGCTCTTCATGCCCCTGCCCCTGCTGGGCTGTCCAACTGCCCCATCTGTCCATCTCTCCATCATCCATCCCTCCATCCATCCCTGCATCCATCATCCCTCCATCCCTCCATCCATCCCTCTATCCATCCCTCCATCCATGCCTCTGCTGTCTCTGTTTCCATTCCCACTTTGGAAGCACAGGGAGCTGTTGGATGATCAGGAAATGACTCCTGGGCTCTCCTGATTTCCTGCAGAGTTTCCTCAGTGCCGGACAGCGGGAGCTCTGTGGGCACAGGGACAAACCATGGTTGCTGTAGCCCAAGGGGTGGCAGTAGCACTGAGGGCTGTTGGAAAGGACTGTGGAGGGGTGAAAATGCCCTTGGAATGTGGCTGTAGGTGCTGGGCCCCAGCTGGGATTTAATATCCCAATAGGCTCAAATACATCAGTGGGGGGATTTGTTCCAGGTCTAAAACCCTATTAAGACAGCTGAGCAAAAAGGAATGGTAGATCAGGAAAAATTAAATGTTGTGGTAATTTTGAATACTCTCTTTCAATTTTAACCTCCTTTTTGTTTAGCATTTTCTTGTAAATACAGTAAAATAGCAGAGCTGAATGCTTCCAAACACAGCAGGAGGCTTCCCAGTCTGGAAGCAGACACAGGAGGGCAGTGATGGCTTCGTACCTTTTCAGAAACAAGGCTGGGATTTGCTCTTGAATTGACCCTTCCTCTGGACCAGCTGTATTCCTGCAGGTGTGGCTTTCAAGGGAATAATGTGAGGAGGAAAGCTCAGCAGTCTTAGCACCTACAGCTATTCCCAGACCCCCCTGCAGGGCTCAGCTGGTGACCACTCATCTGTGGAGCCCCTTCTGCTCTGTCCCAGCCCGGTGAGGCCATGCACCCCAAAGCAGAGACCCCTCTCCTCTCACTGCACCCTCTGGAGGGGCTGTCCCACCTCCAGGGCAGCCCTGGACTCTCCTCTTTGCTGGCAGATCCACAGGGGCCCTTGTGCTCCATCATTGCCAAAGTGATTTTCCTTGAACTGAGAGAACTCGTGTCCCCTGCATCTCCTGTCAGTGCCAGCAGCCCCCAGGCTCCAGGCAGCCCCTCTGTGCATGCTGTGTAGGGCTTTGATCCATGCATCTCCATGGGTTAGTTTGGAGCGTGTCACTCCACGTCCACAGGCATCCCATCGTGGTTCCAAAGGAAATCCTGTGTTCTCCAGCATGCTTGTGTTCATGGCTTGGTGAAGTGACTTTCCTTTGTGATTTTCCCTAATGCCAGTGAGCAGCTGTCCAACTCACACACATAAAGGCTGAGATGGTGAGGCCAAGGCAGGAGTCACCTCCCATTTTTATTCCTGACATCCTTGGGCTGTAGTCTGGGGTGGGAACTGTCTGTCTCTTCCAGCATTAACCCATTATCATACTTTTTGAACAGCTCAGTAACAAAATCCTTGACAGAGAAACTGCAGACTGGAGACCCTACAGCTATCTGAATGAACTAGGTCAGTAATTTTTAAACACTTTAATCACTTTAGTAGACTTTAGAGCAATTCCAAATCCAAATCAGCCTTTCATAAAGGCATTAACAATAATGAGGAATATTGCTGTTGTCTTTAGTTCACAATCAGAATTGCCAGTAGTGAAAGATGGAGAATTAAAAATTGTTTCCTTTACCACAAACCACAGACTGGGAAAGCAAAGTCAATATTCATTTTAGTCTCCCTTCCAAGGTTGCTCTGTTGAATCACTATCATCTAGTCTATAAATGTTTTTTTAAGGACTAACTCAGGACATTAAAAATTCAAATTTGGCTTTTTTTCTTCTTTCCTTTCATGCTTAATAAAGCTTAGCACTAAATACTGGCATCTTGATGAAGGTGTGGAGCCTCTGTGGGAGCTGGGGTGTGCAATGCTCCATTATCTCCCAGTAAATCATTCCGTGGCAATTCTGAACCACCAGCCAGTGCAACCAAGCCAAGAGTGAAGTGTAATTGCCTGTTCTGAGTTTATTCTTCCTGGCTTGAGTTTTAACAGGGTTTTTAGCAGCTCTTAGCTCAAATCCTGCCCAGATTTAGTGCTTTGGATGCTATTTGTTTTCCTATCTGAGCACTCTGAGTTTGGCTCGTCAGTGGCCCAAAGCTTTTGCCCTTTCCTTTCCTGGGATTAGTAACATCTCACTGAAAATATGCAGGAGGAGGGAAAGTGCAGCATTAGGGAGTATTATGGGATTTTTGAGGTCAACTATCTCACAGCTCACATGGCAGAGGAATGAACATAGGGCAGCACCAGGCGTCACAACCTGCCCCAGGCCCACGCCGTGCCCCGCTCCACAGATAACTCTTCCCTGCATCAGGAAAATCACAAACCTGTCAAACTTCAGTGCAAAGTCTTTTCATCCTCAACACCATCAATGCTTTCTGTGTCATAAGCTGCAGAACCACTGTTGTGCTTATCTGTATGTGACAAAGAGGTGGCTGTGTGTGAGGGTTTCTAAATGCTTATCAAACCACATTAATTTTCCTTTTATTATTTTGCTGCTTTTTTTGCACACTATTTGCTTTATTTGTGTTTAACTTGTGCTGTCCTGAGCTCCCCATGTGCCACCTCTGTTCTGCATTCACGCATTTTATTTTACCAGCAGAAATGATGCTAAATGCCTCTGCAGCAAGAATGATCTAGAAGTGATAAATACTTTAGCTAAGGAGCCTCCAGCAAAACACTCCATTTTTTCCCATAGCATTTTGCATCCAAGATAACTTTTTCTTTCTTTTTTCAAGCTAATTGATGAAAATTAGATTTTTTTCCTTTCTTCTCTGACTTTCACAACATTGAATCCTTGCTCAGATCAAGGCTGTTTTTACATGCAAATAAAAAGTTTTCATTTCTTGGTATTACTGTTGTGCAATAAAAGCTGCAGGTTCCTCTCATGAAAATTTCAGAAGATAGTTTAAACCTTCAACTTTGAATTATAAACATAAAATAAAAGTCTAATAAGGTCACACAGGGAATCTTGACTTTCAAACATCATCAAGCATGGAAGTACCACAGTTAAAAACGTGTTCCACCTTGTGACCCCACGATCAGCCTTAGTTTCATAACACAGATGCTCCAACTCATGTGTTGGAAGAGCAGCCAAGCCTTGGGCAGGGCTGGGTTCAGTTAAAAAGTTAAAAACAGCAGTGGACACTGCCCAGCTTCTCTGCTGTGACCCCATGAATTGTCACAGAGAGCAGATGTGGGAGTGAGCCAAGAAGAGAGAGGGAAATGGAAGAGAAATGGAAGGGAAAGTCTGGAATGGATGGAAAGTCTCCACTGGTTCCTCAGCCAATGACTCCTCTGGTGAGCCCAAAGGATGGAGCCAGCAGATGAGGAGAACCAGGCTCCAGAAATGTCTACAGCCCTGTTAGAAACTGCAGTGTCCTAAGCATGAATTAGAGCTGGGGAAAGGAAACTGTAAGAATATCAACACCAAAATTAGCTTGAACACTCATCTCCTCAAACCTGCAGTGATAAGGATTTTCTTAATTGCAGTGGATCTTACCAGACTGCAGGTGTTTTACCTGTTTAGCAGGACTTTGTTTGCCAAGTTCATGTTCTTCCCAAGTGGAAAATGCAAGGACAAAGCCTGTACTTTTACTGCTGCACATTTGTTTGTGAGCTTCAAATTCCAGGTTTTCAGAGAGCTGATTGTGTTCAGTGGAGTCTGGGGAGGAGCACAAGTAATTCCCATGGATGTGGGCTTGAGACATCAGAGTTTGGGAACTGTGGTGCCAAGAAGAGCTTTGTCACCTTCCTGTGTGTCACTGCCTCCCCAGGGCAGCCTGGTCCTTGTTCAGGGAGTGGCTTGTCCTTGCATTTTCTCTCTCTTGTGCTGCAGAACTGGAATTGTTTGCCCTGTGAGTAATCCCTCTTGCTCCAGTCCAGTCTGCACTGGGCAGGGGCAGAGCCCAGCTTCCAGCTCCCATCCCAAGCAGATGAAAACTCCCAAACACTGACCTGAGCTCAGGAAAAGTTCTTGTCTCATTATCTGGAGCACTGGCCACAGCAGCTGCAGGCAGGGCTGGGTTTATCTCTGATGCTTTTTTAACAGCAGTCCTGGATGCAGACACTAAAGTGGGATTTGCAGCACATCATGAGTGACTCAAAGCTGCATTTATTCCAGAGGACCAAAGGCTATAAGTTTGATTCACAGCTGACTTCACTTTTTTCTCAAAGCCAAAAGGTGTGGAAAACTATTTCCAGCTGAGACTGATTTCACCCCAGCAGATAATTTAGCTTCAGACTTAAACCTGGACTTTCCTGAAGTGCCAGATCCCTGGCTGGTTTAGGACTTTTCCACATTTAACTACTTTTGCAGTTTTAAAAATAATGTATCTATTATTCATTTCACTTCCCAAGGAACTGAGTGAATACAAAAAAATGGGTCATAAACCCACACTATTATAACAGATAAAAGAGAAAACTAAAGGAGGAATTATGGGAATCTTTGGTTGGGAAGGGCTTTGTGGGGTTGTGTGGCCCTCCCAAGGGCAATGCACCTCCCCATGGCTCAGCCTGGGTCCCTTTGCTCCCTGCCACTGCCTCCCCCTGGGTACAGCCCCTTCCCCTGGGGACCCCAGCTGGGAGCTCTCCAGTGCTCCTCCCAGCCTTGCTCTGTGGGGTGAGCTCAAATGCTGCTTGGACACTGCTGCCTTTGGAGATCTGCTCAGCCCTGGCAGGAGGAGGATGTGTGATCCCCAGGGCTGCCCTTGGGGAGCCCCAGCCCTGCGGCCCTGGGCCAAGGGATGAATTGGCTGAGAACACAGCAGGGGAAGAGCACAGAGCTCACCCTGCCCTGGGACAGAGCTGCCCAAAGCTCCCAGGCTGCCCTGCCCTCTGCAGCAGGTGAGTCTGGAACTGGCTCGTGGTGCAGAACAAAGCAGAAGGTGCTCCAATGGACTGGGGGTCACTTGTGGCCAGAAGAGCAGCTGGGTGCCACCAGCCCCTTTCCTGTGCTCAGGGATGGGCATTGAGAACCAGAGCAAAGGGTTGGTTTGTCTTTGATGTGCCAGTAACACATTTATTGTCTAATTTAGTAATTTCCCTTATTTAGCAAAAAAAAAATAAAATATGAAGCCGTCATCAAAAAGGGGCTGGTACAGCATTGCCCATGGCCATGACAACTTTTCTGCAGAGACCAGAGGACACACAAGGACAAATAGCTGGGAGACCTCCGGGACACACTGTTTGTGGGGCTCTCTTCCCAGTGTAACTGAGTTACTTGCCTGGGAATCCCATAAGCCACAAGGACGTTTCTCAGTAACCAAATCTGTATTGATTGCCGCAGTCAATAGGAAACACCAGACTCTATAGCTAAAAAGATTTAAAGGCTTACATTAGATTTTCCTTTTGATTGATATCTAGGGTAATTTGCAGGAGTAAAAATGGAAAAGGTCCCCATCCCCTTCTGCCTCAGCTTCTGTGAGGAACAGCAAGTCCCTCTGGAGCTGCACAAGGCAGAATTGTTGGCTGTCAGCTCTGCTCCTGGTGCTGCGCTGTCAGAGCACAGTGGGCACTTAGGGACTGTTGTCACATCAGTCACTGAACTGCAAATTCATGAGCAAAGTGATAGTAGGTAATTTAAGAAGACTGTGCACACCTTAGAGTCTAAGGCTGTGAGTTAAATACTACACTCTCCACAAACAAAACAAAGCCTAAAATTAGTCACAGAGTGCTGCAACACAACCTGCAGACTCAGATTTGAAAGGGCATGTTTTAGGCTTCTTTCACACATTCCAGTAATGAATGTCTCAGCAGATGGTTTTTATCCTGATCTCCTGATGGATGGCAGTTCTTGGTAACCCTGCTGCAGAGAGCTCTCCCTTCCAGGGAAACTCTTAAGCACATGCATAATTCCAGGCGTGCACAGACTCCCCACTGGAGCTGAGTGTGTGCTTACAGCTGAGGATGTGCTTAAGAGCTTCCCTAAATGAGGGCCTTGATGTACAATTTAGAGGGAAGAATATATGCTGCTCAGTAGTCAAAGCAATCCAATTTACATAAATATTTATTTGTTTTCCATTATATATCATTTTTATGCAGGTGCTTGTGGGATGGATAGACGTCAGAACACATACATAATGGAAAAAAGCTTCAAAGGTATGGTATCCAGAGCTGCAGAACCCTGCCCAGGTGTGAGGAGGGTGTCCTAGAAGAGGTGAGATAGGAGCCTGGCAGGGAGGGACAGAGCCACCCACACGAGCTGCCTGCCTGGCTCCCAGCACTCCTGGCCATGAGTGATGGATGCAAAGCTTCCCAGGGCTCTGCAGCACAGGGAGAAAGGGAGGGCTCAGCTCAGGGCAGGTGGAGCTGGCCAGGGCACACTCAGTAGGAGCCACACGGGCTCTGGGGGAGCTGCTGCTGGCACAGGGCTGTTTCCCTGCTCCTGGCCATGCTGAGCTAAAAGAAAGCCCCAGGAGAGGAGCTGCCCCTGCTCGTGCCCTCTGCTGAGAGGGATTGAGAGCAGAGCTGGAGAAGAGCCCTCCCTGAGGCCGAGGTCCCCTCACGCTGGCACTGGTGGCACTGACTCCAGGGCAGGTCTAAAAGAGGATCTCAGATGAGTCACGAGCACAGGGCCCAGTGGTTTTACACTTCCCTTTCCTCCACGTTTACATTCTCAATATTCCAGTTCCATCTGGAGCACGGGAACGCTCGGCACAGTGGTTCCCACAGCTCCTGGCAGATTGGGCTGGGGTTTAGCTCATGGAGCTTGTGCTCCAGAAGATGGAGCAAGGAATCTGTCTCCTGGGGAATAGGCAGCTTTCAGGCCGAGGTCCTGGATGTGAATTACAGCTGGGAATGTCCCTCAGGGAGCCGAGGAGGGAAACACCACACAGGCTCTTCCTGCAGTGCCCTGGGGCTGGCGCTGGCTGAGCCAGGGGACAGCAGGGCTGTGCCAGAGCCCCTGCTCTGCCATGGCTCAGGGGCTCCACAGCCACACCCTGGGCTCAGCCAACGGGGAATATCAAAAGCTATTCCACATAAAAAGCATTAACCAGCTCATAGCCAGGCCTAGAGATCAATATTCACTTTGTAGCTGCTGTTTTCAAAAGACAGGGATGCAATATTTGTAGAACATCACCTTGCCACACAGAATCACCAAAGGAAACCAAGAACCAACAACCAAATCTTTGTTGATAAAGCTAAAGTAAAAACATTGAATGGATTATGATATATATAATTTATGATATACAAAATACTCAATCCACTGGTTTCAGCTACTTCAATAATTCCCTTTTTCAAAAGAAAAATTTTATTATAATAGAGCTAGTTGTTCCCTTTACATGGAGCCATTAACTTCATTAGTTTAAACTTACTGTGTTTACAGAGTTTAAAGGTACCTTAAGCACATGCAGCAGGAACTTCCATCCACACAGAGGGGCACCAGTGGGGCAGAGAAAGAGCCACAGTGACAGAGAACTGTGAAATACATTTTCAGCTGCTACATATTTTCTTTAATTCTTAGGATCTGAACAATTTCCTTTACATGTTTACCTCTTTATAAATTGAAAAATCAGGCTCAGAAGCCACAGCTGGAATTCTTTGTGGCCTCAGAAGGCAGGGCTGGCACTGGCAGGGCACAGGGGCACACCTGGCTTCCCAGGTATGTTGGGAGCTCAGCTGCAAGCACATAGGAGCTGAGGGCTCTCAGAAGCAGCTGCCTTTCAGAAGCTGCCTTACCTTCTCAGAAGCAGGCTGAAGGTTCCCGAGGTTCCCAAGCCCCTCTGACGGTCCATCCCTGGCAGCCCCAGGGCTCCCTGGCAGCTGGACACCCCCAGTCCCAGGGGAGCCTCCTCCCAGGAGGAGCTGGGAATGTGCCCAGTGCTCAGAGTGAGCTCTCCTTGCCCTGCCAGGCCCTGACTCACCACATTCCTCACAAAATGGAGAGGAAGAAACTCCCAGTCCCAAACAATTGGATTGTGTCAGCAAAAGCCTTGGCAGGCAGGTGCCTGGTTTTTAGCTACTTTCATCCAATTTAAACCATGTCTTTTCCCACCAGTGTGGTCTAACTGGGGAGAGCCTGTCCTGCAGTTGGAAGTGATCTCTGGTGCCCTGGGCCAGACAGAGCCTTGAGGGAGGGGCACAGGGGGCTTGAGGCTGTGGAGAACCCGGGCCACCTCCTGCTGCCCCAGTTCTCTGAGGAGACCAGAGCAGGGCACCAGGAGAGGGTCCCCTGTGCAGCCTGGCACCAGGGGGGTGGTGGCTGAGCTGCTGTGGAGCTCCAGGGGTCGGGCACAGAGATCTGGGGCTGCCAGGTGTCAAGGCCAGTGTCTGACAGCAGCAGAGAGGGGCTGGCTGTCACAGTGCCACCCTGAGCCCTGTGGCACCTGGTGACAGGGGCTCACCAGGCTCGAGGGTTTTCAGAGCAGGTTTCTGAGCAGTTTCTTTCCTGTGCATGGTGCTCAGTGATGCCATTCCTGAGCTCTTCCTTTCAGCTGAGTCCTTCTGTTTTTAGAGGTTTGGATTTTAAATGAAGAGTCCTGCACTGATGGAATGACGTGACCTCAGGCACGACCATTTTAAGGAAAAACACCCATTATTTGCAGAAGAGCCAGGAAAAGCCCAGCAGAGAGAAGCACTGATCCCAGGGGTGCAGGGCTGGGCTCCGAGAGGTTCCCCTGGTTGTTGTACAGGATGTGTCCCCACTCCTGTGGCCCTCTGAGAAGAGCAATGGGCCCTTGCTGTGTCACTGTCCCTGCAGCAGCCAGGGCTGGCCAGGTTAGGGACAGCAGCCAGCACAGGCACGTCATCCCAGCAAGGGTTAAACAGGAGAGCACCTTCTGCCAGGGCACAGCACCTCCCTCAGCACTTCCACCTGGGCTGGGGGATCCAAGGCTTGTCTGCAGCACGCCAGGGGAAATTCAGGAGAGAAGAGAGGAACCCAGTCTGGGGGAGGGACATTTCCAGTCCCTGCTAACAAAAATAAACCCTCCAAAGGTCTGGTGATTGGTATCCAGGCAACACAGAAGGCAGAGACTTCAAAATTAGAGCATATTCCCAATATTTCTCTGGAAGTCCAGCTGATTGAGTGCTTCCAGTGAGCCCCAGCATTGTGGGGCAGAGCTGTCACCTCCATGAGAGCTGGAGCCTGTGGCAGGGAGGGATGAGGAGACAGCACAGCCAGGGCTCACACATGGCTGCAGCACCATGGGCTGAGAATCTATAAATATGTTTGTTCTGCTTAAATTAATTCATGAAACAAAATTTGACAATTGATGCCAGACTTCTTCATTATCCCCAAATTACCTTAATAAGAAATAACTCTACAGCTTTAGAGCTAAATCCTCTGTGATCTTGCACGTAATATTTCTTGAGGGCTAATGACTCCCTGGTGTACCCAGAATCCACTGGTGCTCCATAAAATATATTGTGTCCAAAGCAAGGGTCTGCTCCCAGGCAGACACAGAGCTCTGTTTACGTCAGCAGGATGGGCTCTCAGGCACGCTGTTTCTCAATATCTCCTGGGAAAAGGCAGTTCCTGGGAGAGGCCAAACAAGTCTGGGCAGCCCGAGTGGCATTCACTGATCTCTGCCAACTGGTCCTGGGAAGGGCTGAGGGACACCTGCCTGGGGGGTAATGTCAGCCCTAACTGCAGTACCGGTGGATTTTAGCTTAGGGAGATAAAAGTAGCTGAGCTGGATGAAATAAAACAGCTGATGTGCTGGGATTTTTGCCTTTGCCAGCTCCAATGTGCCCAATTCCATAAACAAACCACACAGATATTTACCTGCAGCTGCAGCTCTGCAGGAGGAGGAATTCTCACTCTGCTCTTTGCTGTAGCAGTCAGCAGTCCTTTATAATCAACATGTCCTGAATCTACACCCAGCTCTTGTTTGATTTGTTCCCTCCCAGCCGTGGTGTGACAGAGAACACTTTGCAGGGGGTCTTGGGGCACAGAGGGAATCCTGCTTTTCACCCTGTGGCCATCTGCTCAGCAGCACTGTTTGAAATGGAGAAACAAGTTGATGATAATCTCCATGTCCCTCACCCCAAAATGCAGAGCTGGCTCATTAGAGGCTGCCCAGGCTCTCCTAACGAGCTCTATCTCCTGGAGTAGCCCCAGGAGCTGTAAGCTGCTGGCAGGTGGAGCTGAGCCTTTCATTTGTCTGTCTATGGTTTCCTCTAACACCAACAGATCCCAGACTGGGGCACCTGGATTTAAGTGACATACACAGGAAAAGCCAACATTGAGCTCACTCATGTGCAGAAGCCTTTGGTCTCACAGGGCTGCCCTGCTCTCTGTAGAAGGATGGGATGGAGCAGTTTTCCACTCACTTGTACTAGGCTGGGTTGGTGACACTGCAGGGACAAACCCTGCAGCCAACAGCCAGGGAATGTCACTGGTGCTTTGGTTCCCATCTCCTGTCATCTACCAAACCAGGCATGTTTCACTTGGAAGCAAAGGCACTGCTCACCGGGGCTGATGTCAGACAAGGAGTTTCTAAGTTTTCTAACTAAATAAACCTTGCACTGGTGCCAGGCCTCTGCCAGCCTCCCCATCCCTGATGGTCCCAGCTATTTGTGTGCAGTGGAGCTTCCCAGTGAGCTGCTTTCACCCACCCTGGAGCTGAGGGCTCTCCAGACTTGTTGGTGCCACTGAAATCAGAGCCCAGAAAGGCAACACCTGACACCTCCCTCAGGGGCACCAGGCCAGGGGTGATGGACACACAGACACAGACACAACCCCAGAGCTGAAGGAGGGACAGTCACTCACAGTGGAGCAAACCTGGCACGTGAGGGAGCAGGATGGGGCTGGCAGGCTCAGAGCCGAGGTTTGGAGAAGTGATGTCATGTTGTCTGTCTATTTCTTAACCTGAATTTCTCTTTTTGTCTCCCATACTAGACAGCGGGGGCAGCTGGGATTGCAGCTATTTTGCAAGTCCCCCTATTTCACCGGGAGTATTTCATATATACCAGGATCTGCCTTTGTACTGTAACCCAGCACAAGAAAATGCCTCATCTTTCATTGCATCGCTCTAATTCTAAATTACTGGCACTGCCCAGCAGGATGCACACAGCAGCAATGGCACGTTCTTGAATGTCAATGTTAAGACCTATTTATTCTCTATTGTTTTTTTTATTTTTAAAGCAAGACTGGCACTGTACCTTGCAGCAGGCTGGTCTGTCCCAGCCAGGGTCACCGAGCGGGCAGGCCGGTGGTCACAGCTCTCATGCCAACCTTGTTCTCCCCAGCTAGTGCCTCTGTCACCTCCTCTCCAGCCCAGGGGAGAGGAGCAGGAGCTGTCTACAGCAAAGGGGGGAAAAAAGCAGAGCAGAAGTGAGGCTCAGATGGAGGCTTGTCCCCCTCTGTGGAAACCCAAGCATTCCCCAATTGTAGGATGCTGGATAACCCCAAAAGCAGGAGCTGCACGTGCAGAGGCTGCACTGGTGCAGTTCAGAGCCTGTGGCAGTGTCGTGCACTCCAGCTCAGGGCACTGGATGTGCCGAGGCCCCTGGCTGAGCAGCCCAGCTCCCAGAGCAGCTCCTGCCTGCAGAGCCGACTGCCCGCGGGGCAGGCGCAGCGGGATGGACACGGCTCCGGAGGAGTGAGGGGGCGGGAGGGAAAGGATTGCCACCTCAAATGAAGTATTGCAGTAAACGGCAGCTAGGAGCTCTCACAGGAAAACCTTCAGTACTGAGCAGGTTTTCATTTCTTTCCTGCCAGTGAGTGGTGGATGCAATGGTGTGGAACACCCAGAGCACAAGCACCGGGTGTCTGTGCTGGAGGCTTCAAGGATCTTCCTTATCCCCTGCCCCTTGTGCCCCCCAGCCTTCCTGCAGAGGCTCAGTTGTAATTAACCCAATTAAGCTAATGACCCTAACGCACCCACTCCGCTCTTGTTTTGCAGATTATATGAAAGAATCTGTGTGCAGCTCCAGCACTTGTTCCCTGAACAGCAGTGAAAACCCATACGCCACCATTAAAGACCCCCCCATTTTAACCTGCAAACACTCTGAGAGCAGCTACGTGGAAATGAAATCACCTGGTCACAGGGAGTCCCCGTATTCCGAAATGCCAACTTCATCAACAGCCAACAAAAACATCTACGAAGTTGGTAAGCAGTGGGTGGCACAGGGGGGTTGGTGGAGGTGCTGGTTTTCCCCTGTCCTGGCACACGGATCCCGGGCTTGGCGTGGCACAGGGACTGGCAGGGGGAAGGCCTGAGCACTGGTGTGTTGGTTTGGGGAGCTGAGCCACAGTGGTGGATGTCCTGAGCTGGAAGGGACCCAGGAGGATGAGGAGTTTTGGGACTGCTGCTGGTCACCACAACCCCGTTCTCCTTGCTCCCCCAGAGCCCACTGTCAGCATAGTCCAAGACGGCCGCAGTCGGAGTGCCAGCTACCTTCAGAACCCCTATGACCTGCCTAGGAACAGTCACATTCCTGGTCACTACGACCTGCTCCCCGTCCGGCACAGCCCCACGCACGGGTCTTCTTGGGACAAGCAGTCCTAGAGGGATGGACTTCACTGGCACTGTGCTGCCAGCACAGACTGTGAGGAAGCAGAGGAGAAGCCATTCCTTCCTTTCCTGCGGACTGGCAAGGACTTAACACGACATCAGCTTGGGCCAACTGCTGCTGCATGATGTTATTGATAAAGACATTTTTGTATGGGTACCTGGAACTAACGAGAGCCTCCTCCACGTGGGACTGGAGCACATCACCCCAGGAAGGTGTCTTCGTGCTCCAGGCAAAAACCCTCCGTGGCGTGTCCTAACCCTGGCTTTGCTGTAAAATAAACCACAAAAACATGCTAAGTAGAAGGACTTCAGGATGTACATTTCTACTGACTGCAGCAAGAACTTTTACTGTTAGGAACGAGGTGACTAGGAATACGCTGGAATTTATTTTCATCTTTGTCATGGGAACGGACATTTTTCTGAATGAGAGCAGGGAAACTTGTCATGTCACTGTCTGGAAAGCTCATTTACTGCCATCACCATGTGCAACCTGTGCAGATCATGCTTGGTAATTAGCACTGAGATTGTCATCTCTATATTCAGTACCAGAGAATTTGAGGAATATTAACACAGACACTTTCTGTGCAGTTTTTAGTATCTTTCCAAACATCCCCTGATCTTTGCTAATGAATGGAGTTTCCACAATGAGTCTCACACTCACCACACTTTAAACGTTGATTGGCACAGGTAGGCTTTGATTTTCCTTATGCAGCTTCTCTTTTGGTAGTTGAATCCAGCAGATCTGTCAGGGAGTTTAAACTGCTGCCCCTCCAATTCCTGCCCTGGGACGCTGCAGGTTTGCACAGACCAGCCCTGGTTTCATTTCCTTTCTCAAAGCTGAGCCACATCGGCTTCTCTCTCCCATCTTCCCAAACCATCTCCTCATGATTCACTGTCAGCATGCCACTGATGACTCCTCTTAATCTGATGTGCATTACCATGTAGTGCAACTTTATCCATTGATGATTCTACCTGAAATGTCATTAAATGGAGCTGAAACTGGGTTTTCTTTTTCAGCAGCTGTTTGTGAAGTAATTATCAAGGGTCTGACCCATGGTAAAATTTTGGACTGAGCCACCATGATACTTTTTTTTTAATTTATAATCTCTATTGACCTAGAAAGTAGAATACTTGCCGTTAGTTCCTTGTAGATTTTGAGCATGAAGTAGTATTGACTCTAAGTATGTAATTTTATTAGGCAAACGTGGAAGTAGCAAGTTGATTGCCTTTTAAATATAAAAAATATTCTGTTGCACATTTGCCAGTCTGATGGAAGCAGAGGAGGATGCCACCAGCCCCGTGGGTTTGCTCCCAGCATGATCCCAGGAGTGACATGCAGGGCCCAGGACTGGCAAGAGGAGCCCTCCAGCTCGGGGGCAGCAGCTGGATCCCAGCTCTGGGAATACTCCTGGATCCTTGGAGCACTGTGGTAGGACCCAGATGTGTCCCCACAGGTGGGCTCAGCCCTCATGCCTGGATCACAGCCCCTGGCTCTGGGCATTCTGCCCCTGGGAGCCTCTGCCCTTGCAGCCAGGACTCTCCAGGTGGTTGGGCTGGCTCTGAACCCCCAGTGTGAGCCTGGACACCCCCAGGACACCCCCAGGCTCCCGGAGCAGGATCCTGCCCACGAGGTTTCCCGAATGCTGCATGTGTGCATGGGGGCCCTGATCAGCAATAGCAATTTTGTTTTCCAGGAAAGCCTTATTTGAGATGTAAGGAAACAATTATTTTGTAGGCCCAGTAGGAATATATTTTGCGTACATGAATAGAAAGATTTACCTCAAAAATACCAAGAGAAAGGCAGTTGGATAAGGAATACTCATGTTAAGACCCACCTTGGCACCCAGCACAAGCAGCCTGAGCTGCTGGCCTGACCCACGTTTGTGTGTTGCTGTAGCTTGCAATGAGACTCCAGAGAGCAGAGATGTGCTCAGTTTTTGGTTTGGTCTTTTTCAAAGCAGGATTTTGAAACCAAATGCAATGATGTGCATAGAGCTTAACAGGAAAAAAAAACAACAACAAAACCAACAAAAATAAGTACCTTCTTGTATATCAGCGTTAGCTTAGGAAACAGGCACCAAAATGGCAATACTTTTTTAAGGCTAGACAGATTTGTAATATATTTGTTCACTGTGCAAAGGGATCCTACCTTGTACAAAATAAATTGAATTTCTCTCAATGTGTAGTTCTCCACCGTACTCATTTGCAGAGCCAAACTTCCAGCCCTGCACAGATCCAAGCTCTCCAGGTGATGTGGCTGCTCCCCTCAGCCAAAAGCCCCCCGGCACCAGGCTAGGACAGAACTGGCAGGATGGCTCAGAACACCCAGTGCTGCCATTCCAAGCTGGAATAAACCAAAGGTTAAGCAGCTCTGCACACCCTTCTCCCAGTTCCTCAGCAGTCTGACCTCAGTGAGACTCCTGGGAATGCTCAATCCCAGCTGGAAGAGCCCCTCCATGCCCACCACGAGTGGTGACACTGCCCTGGGCCACTCCCAGGCTCCCAGGCCTTTGGGTGGACACTTGGGGACCCACGGTCACCCAGGAGCCATGGGACAGGACACGAGGCAGCCCAGCAGCTCCCAGGGAGCCAAATGAAAAAATCAGATTTGCAGTGGAAACACCTTCAGAATTAATGAGCTCCAGGCAATGCAGCCACTGCTATGTGCTGAAGCTTTTCAATATTTGTGCTTCATATTTCTAAAAATCTTGTTAACTAAAGCCCAGCGTGTAATCTTCTTATTTGACAAGCCACACTCAATAAGCTATTTAAGGCTGGAAATTCATCAGGTCTGAATTTATAGAATAAGTAATTCTAGCTTAATAAAATGTCTTTAAATCAGAACAATTCCACGTCCTTTCTGCTTAAAAGTCAGAACCTCAACTCCCATCAAAGACAGGAACCACTGAAGCTCACTGAATAATTGTTAAAAGTTGGGGTTTTCAAAATATGTAGATGACAGAAAAAACTTTTTGAAGCATTATACAGAATTCCCAGAATCTCAGAAAGCTCCTTCCAGGGCCCAAAGTGCTCGCTGAATAATTGTTAAAAGTTGGGGCTTTCAAATATGTAGATGACAGAAAAAACTTCTTGAAGCATTATACAGAATTCCCAGAATCTCAGAAAGCTCCTTCCAGGGCCCAAAGCAGTGTCTGTTACCATCAATTGTCTCCCATTAGCAGGGAGGAGACACTTCAGTACACAAGTAGTGGCAATTATGGAACAGAAGGATTAATCAGCAGCTGAACAGGACAATCCCCCACTGGAAAGCATTCAGATGAAATAACAATTTGCATTGTTTCTCCCAAACACCTCTGGAAGCACCTTCCTGTCCCAGGAGTCACCCAGCCCAGGCCAGGATCTGCAGCCAGGTCCTTGCAATCCTTAGGGAAGCACACACAGACCCCCAGAACAGGAGGCAAAGGATTTCCCAGGGGGAAGTTCCTTTTCTGTGCACACCCCATTGGAGTTTGCTTAGAAGTCCTCAGCCTCCCAGAGTGGTTTGTGCTCCCACCATCTGCACTGCAATTCCATCTGCTGCAGGAGGAAGAGTTTTGCCTAAAATCACACAAAATCCAGACTGATGTGACAGCAGACTCAAATCACCTGTGTATAGGAACGAGGAAAGGAAGCAGAGTGAAACTCATCCTGCATTTCCAGCTGACAAATTTAGAACATGGCTGCCAAAGGAAATCAATTAATTCCAGAATCTGCTCCATTTTGGGCAGAGAATGTGCTGCAAGAACAGCTCCTGCAGTGAGTGAGGGGCTGGGCTCACAGCTCACCCTCAGAGCAGTCCCCAGGGCCACCAGTGCTGCCCCGTTGGTGCTCATGGGCACCTTTCATCAGGACACCTCAGCAGGATTCCAAAGCTTCCATCATCTGCTGCAGAAGGCAGGAGTTCGTCTCCCTCCGGATTTTCTTCCTCGTGGCAACATGGGAAAAAAAAAACAGGTTTGTAAAAGTTATTCAGGGGTTTGAGTAGAGTGAACCCACAGAATTTTCTAAGCTTCCTGAAGCTGCCAAAGTGCCCTGGTTACAAACTGCAGCAGCCCCAGGAAGCTCAGAGCTGCTCCCAGGGAAGGCAACTGTGCTACACAACCCTGTCAGCTCCTTTTCCAGGAGCTCCCACCTCACTGTCTTCTCACTACCTCTTTCAAGAAGCTCATAGGTAAAACCTTCAGGTCAAATCCCAGTTCTCCCAAGAAGTGCACCCAACACCACAGTGAGTTGTCCCCTGTAATTCTTTATTAGAATCATGGATGAATATATTTTAAATCAATCTAAAAAAATAATGAATCAAAGTACAGTACATGCATAAAATACAAAGTAATTTACAAACAGATCAAAATAGCATCTTCAGAACTAATACCAGGAGGAGAAATGGAGTAAAAAACAAGAAGTGACCGACTACAGCAATGCCTTCCGTGTGCCTCACACATCATGAGCACCGCGAGACAGAAAGGTTGGGAACAGAACACAGCTGGAAGTGCCAACCACATCTGGATCTTCCAAGTGGGTCATATCAGAGTTTGAGAAACGTCCCCTACAATCAATTACTTCCCTGTAATTGTATAAATAACTGCAGGCATTTGCACAACAGAGAGTTCCTTTAAACCCTGTGGGATTGCAGTGGCTGTGGCCCCCAATGCCAGCGTCAGGCGTGTTCAGGAACAGCACAGAGCGAGTGACAGAAGGCACAGTTCATGTATCCCTGAACAGGCAGATTGGACAGGACTGGTATGGAGCAGCACACCACAGGAGGAACACATCCAGACAGAAAACTCCAGAGGGTTTTGTTGAAGAACATACAGCAAACCACTGGAATAATTTAAAAATACTGGATCAACCAGAACTGAAAACTAAGGCCAGGTAGTGGAAGTTATTAATTCATCAACTCAAGCACTTGTATATATTAATATATGTGGCATGCATTAATAGATGTGATATGTAATACGTGCCAACACCCTTCAAGTCTGTGTCCCATGGAAGGAAAAAAGGCATCCTCAAATCCTGATACCACCAGCAGTGTGGAGGCCAAGCCTCCAGCAGCACAAAGATGCTGCAGTTCCAGAGCTGGAGTGACCCTTCCTCACGGACGTGGCTCCTGCATTCACTTCCTTCACAAGAGGCACCTCCGTGGGGTCCCAGCAGCTCTG